TGTGCCCTGGGAGCAGGAGCATCTGAGACTCCCTGGAAAAGGGAGGTGGGGGGGGAAGAAAAGCAATGCTAAGACTGTGGCCCCAAGGTCCCACCTGTGCTCCCCTTCTCCACCCAAGGCCCCACCCCTGCTCAGCCTCTTCCCCTTAGGCCCCCTCTCACTCAGCCTCTGCCTGCCCCCCTTCTCCTCCCACAGCCCCTGGCCCCCCTCTGCCTCTTCCCCAAGGACCCATCACTTTTTTCCTGCCAGAAGCAGGAAGCCTACCAAGCAATCATTAGGACCACTGGGACAATTGAGGTGCTAAACAAGCACTGGAGGGAGCTAAGGCCCTTGCAGAGAAGCTAAATGAACTCTTGGCATCCATCTTCACTGTAGGGTGAAGAGAGATTCTCAAACCTGAGCCCTTTTGAGGGGGCAGATCTGAGGAACTGTCTCAAACTGAGGTGTCAAGAGAGGTGCTTTTGGAACCAATTGATAAATTAAACACTAATAAGTAAACAGGACCAGATGATATTCACTCAAATTCTGAAGGAACTCAACTATGAAATGGCAGAACAAACTGTGGTTAAAAACCTATTGCTTCAATCAGCCTCTGCAGCAGATGACTAGAGAATAGCTCGTGTGACACTAACTTTTTTTTAAAAAAGGTGCAGAGCTGACCCTGGCACTTATAGACTGGTGAACTTAAATTCAGTTTCAGGCAAATTATTTGAGCTAGAGTAAAGAACAGACTCATTAGACACACAGATGAGCACAACATGTTGGGGGAGGATTCAGTACAGCTTTTGTAAAGGGAAATCATGCCTCACTAATCTCTTAGAATTCTTTGAGGGGGGGTTAAAGAAACATGGACCTGAATGATCAAGTAAATTATATTGACTGAAACTTTCAGAAAGCCTTTGACAACGTCCCTCACTAAAGACTCTTAAGCAAAGTAGGGAGTTGTGGATAAGAGGGAAGGTCCTCTTCTAGATCAGTTAAAAGACCAAACAAAGGGTAGGAATAAATGGTCAGTTTTTACAGTGGAGAAAGGTAAATAGCAGGGCTTCCCCAATAATCTGTACTGGACTAGTGCAGTTTAACCATTTTTCCAGATCATTTATGAATGTTAAACAGTGAGGTGGCAAAGTTTGCAGATGATACAAAATTACTTGAGTCTAAAGCAGACTGCAAAGAGTTACAAAGGGATCTGACAAAACATGGTGACTTGGCAAGAAAAATGTTAGATGAAATTCAGTGTTGACAAATGCAGAGTAATACATATTGGAAAATGTTATCCCAACGATATATACACAGAGTGATAGTGATAAATTAGCTGTTCTCAAGAAAGATCTTTGAGTCATTGTGGATAGTTCTCTGAAAACATCTGGTCCATGTGCAGCAACAGTCAAAAAAGCCTACAATGTTATCTATCCTTTTCCTAATGGCTAGTAAGACAAATTATAATGCCCCTATATAAAAATCCATGTTATGCCCACATCCTGAATACTGCATGCAGATCTGATCATCCCATCTCAAAAATATTATATATTTATTAGAATTGGGGAAAAAGTACAGAGAAGGGCAACAAAAATGATCAGGGAGATGGAACAACTTCTATATGGGGAGAGATTAAAAAGACGGAGTGTTCAGCTTGCAAAAAAGACAACTGGGGGGGGATATGATTGAGATCTAGAAAATCATGACTGGTGTGGAGAATACAAATAAGAAAGTGTTATTTACCCCTTCACATGGCACACAAACCAGGAGTCACCCAACAAAATTAATAGGCAGCAGATTTAAAAAGAAACAAGTACATACATCACACAATGCACAGTCAACCTGTGGAACTTCTTGTTGATGTTGAGAAGGCCAAATGTAAACTGGCTTCAAAAAATAATTCTGAATGTTCATGAAGGATAGTCCATCAATGGCTATTAGCCAAGATGGTCAGGGACCCCATCCTATGCTCTGGTGTCCTTAAGCCTCTGATTGCTTGAAGTTGGGACTGGATGACAGGGGATGGAACACTTGATAAACTGCCTTGTTCTTTGCTCCTGGCACCAGCATGCAGCACCAGCCACTGTCAGACGACAGGATACTCGGCTAGATAACCATGAGTCTCACCCAGGCTGGCAGTTCTTGAGTGGTAACAGCTAATTTAGACCCCCCTCATTTTGTATGGGTAGTTGGGATGGTTTTCCCATGTGCATTACTTTGCACTTATCAACATTGAATTTCATTGGGTTGGGGGAGGGAGTGTCTGGCAGGGGGCACCTTCCCGCTCCCCTCTTGACCCTTCAGCATAGCCCCATTTGCTTCACCTGCACAGGGAGCGAGACGGGTCCCAGCTGCTGAGACTGCCCATTGCAGGGAGTGGAAAGCTTCCCCTGCCCCCCCCCCCCCACCAGTGGTTACAGTGTGGGTGGCAGCCCCACCCCCAATAAAATCCTCATTCTGCACCAACAAACAATTTCCCCCTTTTTAAAGCAAAGGAAACAGACCCACAAAAAGCTACACTAGAAACATTAAGGTTGCAAAGTCAAGCCCTCAAAAGTTGAGACACTTGAATTAAGGCTGCCCGTGCAACCTTAATTTGCCCCCCTCGTGCCTATGCATTTGGATACAGTCTTCAATTACATGCTCACATGTTATTTTCCTCCTACAGGACTCCGGCCTCATTTAGTGCACAGGATGGTGGGTGCTCTCTTAATGCACAGCTATATAAGAGCGTGTTTTAGCCTCATTGTTCAGGGGATGGTCTCATGCCTCATTACTGCACACTTGTCTTCACAAGGGAGTTTGGGTAATTTAATAATTTCCTTATGGCATTTAGCGGTATAGTATTTAAGAGCTGGCCTACAGAGCTTCAGTTTTCTGCACCAGGAGGGGGGGGGGGGGCGTCTAAGTTTTAGTCTGTATTAGCATGTTGTGCACTAACCTTCAAGCTCAATCTCTCCATGGGCCAGTATCTATTAATTTTGGGTACCCAATTTGAAACCTGGGACCTGACTGATTCCCCCCCCCGTCCCCCAATCCCAGAGAATTTATTATCCAGCACTTCTTTGCATTCAAAGCCACAGCTCCCATTGACTTCACTTGCCATGTGAGCGCTCAGCACTTCTGCAAATCAGACCCTAGTGTCTGGGAAGATTGCTTTAAGTCACTTGCTCAGAATTGCACAGCGATTCTGGCAGAGCCAGGAATAGGATCAAGTTTTTCAGGGCACAGTTCAGCTGCCTTTACCAGGAGACCTTCCTTTCTCTTTCACTATGCAGCTTCCAACTTCCACAACAAACCAAGCAAGGGTTCTACAGACAACAGCCTCCTTTGCGGCACAGCCCTGCTCCACCCCCAATAGCAGATTCATCCTGCACACTGAATGAGGCAGGGCTCGGGGGGGGGGGGGGGAGTGTATGCCATCATGTACCTGTAATTAAAGACTGCCTCATCATGCATACCTCACAAAGAGGGCAAATTAAGGCTGCCTCTGCAACCCCAATTCAGCCATTACCTAACTCAAGTGCTTAATTTTGCAAGCATAATGTGTGTGAACTAGGGTTACAATTCGTCCGGATTTACCCGGACATGTCCTCCTTTTTGTGCTAAAAATAGCGT